CTTCTGCCCTCAAGAGAATGAAAAAGATGCTGGTGAAGAGCAGAATGAGTGCCTTAATTACTTGGCCACAGACAGCCCTGGCCACCCAGCACCTCCTACTGAGGAATCCAGTTTTAAGCACATGTCCTAGCTCCTAGACTAAAGGATAAATGCTTTGCACTCCCACTTTCTTCAGTTATTCATGAACTATTTGCTCCAAGTGCAATAATTGAAGCAGAGAGCGTGTTTCATTTCAGGATATCCTATGAACAACCACTTTGGAGACCTTGATTTCATTCACATCCTAACTCCAAACAAGGTACAGGATGGTGCTAATTCGTGTATTTTGCTTGCCCATTAGTTCATTTTGACAGAAGACTTTGTCTGCTTTCTATTGGACAATTTTTTTTCAGTATGTTCTGCAATCACTTGCTGGTTTGGGCCCCATAGAGATGCAGGAAACACCTGCTATGCAACTTCTTGAGGGCTTGGTAGCCAAGTAGCTCAGTGTTGCCAGGATCTGAGTAGTTACAGAAGAATCAAGGTAGTTGGCAGCCAAGAAGAGACTCGAGATTTAAACATTCTTTAAAAAAGTATGTATGATGATTCAGAAACTAGAAGAGAATACAAATACCCTCAAACATCTTACAAGTACGTTAAGAGTGAGACTATCCTTTCTTCTTCCACGCTTCCCTCTCAAAACTTCACTGACTAGTACCACAAAATGAACTCAGTAGTTTCTTCTAATTTAGCTCTTACTTTTATTAGCAAGGAGCCAAGTTCCTCTGGCTCATACCACCTACCAATAGGCACTCATTATTCTGAGGGAATAACATTGAAGGAAGTCTTCATGTCTGCAGTCAATAAAAAGAGAAAAATCTGATAAATTTTTCTTTTTTTTTTCCTTGTCATTCTGAAATACAGGAGGAATTTTTACATTTATTATTATGTAGTATGAAGTATTCCAATTAGTCCCAACATCCCTCAGGCTTCCTCTTATGGTTTCATAATTTACTTTTTTTTTTATAATGAAACTTCTCAAACTTATTTGTATGGATTTTAGACATCCAGTTATGATCACACACAAACTTCAAAACAATGTAAAAAAGATCTGTTGAAGTTATTAATTTCTGAATATTGCTTATACATTCATTTATAGCCAGGCTGGATTCAAGAGAAGATAAAAGCCTGTTGGCTTCAGCATAGATTATAACAACCACAGTAATTTTAATGTTGAGGAACCTCTCCCTTTCTCAAAGACTGGCTACTTTGGAAACTAAATTGTATGTAGCTTTGTTTGATGCTAATAACATTAA